CACTTATACTGTCTACTTTATGATTCCCAAAGATTGTACATACTTTGGGCGACTGAAATACTGAGCATAATAAAAATAGAAAAATCTCAAATTATTAATGTGTAACGCATGTCATTTTCTTGCAGTTTTCTTGAAAAAGAAAAACAACTAGACTTCAGCAATTAGGAGAGGCACATAATGATTTAATTATAGTTCTTAAAATTAAAATTATTTGATGATTACCAGTATCTAAAAGATATTTGGTAGTTTTATGATTTGAACTAATAGTTAACCAGCCAAATTAGTTGTAATCTACCAATTTAAATGAAAGACCTAACTACAAATCAGATGTCGATTTCAATTGAAACTCAAAGCGTTTGCTTGATTCTCACGTCCTTTTAGCAATATATCTCATTTAAGTTTTTGCATCTAATTTACCTACAGTTGAAACAAATAGTATCATGTACTTAAAATACGAACCCAAAGTATTACTGTAATATTCCATTTATGTTTTTCATAGCAATATTCGATCATTTGTCCCTTTCATTAGGAGTATGAATCTCGTAAAAGTGAAAAGTTAATCTTGAAGGAAGCCATGGAGAACGGGAAATTTATTTTATCCTATAGTGTCTTTGATATAAAACATCAGCTTTACGTAAATGCCTTACCCTTTTAATAATATCAACATTTGTTTCAGTACCTAATGAACGATTTATGTTAACTAGTCATCATTATATCCTGTCAAAACTAATGCATTAAGTCTATTTATGGATACATTATTTTCTATTGTATTAAAGCCATTGTATAAGTTGTAGGACGTAATGAAGAAATCTAAAATTGCAACATTCTATAGTTTTTTACATTTTTGATTTCCGTATTTTTAATGAATAACTGGTAACGTCTATCTAAAAACATTAACAGTCTGTGAAGGAGAAAATCAGTTGTATTTCTAAAAATTAGTGTTTTCCGGGGTTGTTTTAAAAAGTCCGTCAGTGACGTGTGTCGATTAATGGAATATAGAAAACGAACTCAGCAACACGTTTCATTTTGAAGTAATTTCCTTAGAAGTTGGAAATGCTTTATATTTAAATCTTCGTCATCTTCAGTGGCTGCGTGACTAACGTACCGAAAACCCAATCTCTTTTACTTTTACTTAGATGAAGGATGTTACTGGTTTCATATTTTTGTGTGTAATATGAGCGAATAAACTACTAAAACTGAAATTCATCAGTTTTATGTTTGTCTTAAGACGTCTTCAGTTTAAAGATTATTTTTTCTAAGTTATATTGTGGGTAATGGCAATAACAACAGTAATTAAACTACAATATAGTTTCCATCTATACTCACTCTTGATTGATGGATGAATATAACAATGACAAGTCAGGTTTATCAGTTATACCTTTTTACCCTAGCTTATGAAAATGCAAAAAATTGCTCTTTTGTGGCTTGGTCGTTAAGATAGTTGACTTAGATTCTGCATCCACTATGATAATCCATATTCTCAAAAAAAATTAGGCGTTTTTCTATTCTTTAATAGTAAACAACAATTCCATGTAGTGAATCACACTTTCATAGTTCGGTGTAATAACAATATAAATTAGGCTTGAATATAAGTGAAACGAATGGTTTGGGCGTTGAGTAGCTAACGCACGTTATCGGTCAATATTTACATAAACACGTTATACCGTGTAAGTGTTATATAGAATGTACTGTTCATAACCTTTCTTGTTGACATTCACCTGCACTATAAATGTTTACCATAGTGAAGACAATTCAATGAAAAAACGTTTCTTTTCTACTATCATTTGTCAAACCTATACAATCGTATTTATAGTTTTTATTCGTACACAGTAATTTACGACAAAATCTTTTCCATACAAAGTGTTTTTTTCCTAACATATATATTGTAGGATTACTCATTACGGTTATGGAAAGTTGAGTACAAATCAGTCACTAGTTCGACTATTGAATTTCAAACCATGGATGTCCACTAAATTCTTCATTCTAAATGATTCACTAAGTCGGACGAACTGGACCTGGGGGAAGTTTAAATGAGACGTTTTCGCTTAGTCAAATGTTTAAGTCTTATTTTATCCTAGCGCTCATTTGCAATTTTTCTAGTTTTTTATTAACACGCTTTCGTTGCTTGTTTATATTTGTTGAATCAAGAATTATCCTTTACATCTTCATTTTTGTGGTATCCCTTTTATTATCCTTACTTCAACACTAAAGTTTTAAAACATTTTGTTAATGTTTTAATAATTTCTTATTTTACTATAGCGTACCATACGTAAAATAATTATACAGAGTATAAAGCAGTTTTAGTAAATGACAGTCGAAAAAGACATTTTCCACGCTGAACTTATCAAAATATTGTCTTGCCTTACATTTTTTATTAAGGTTTCTAACTGTCATCGAATTATAAAGTATTAATTACGAAAGATGTAGCGTTAGCTTAATGAAAGTTAAGGATTTATCTATGGGAGAAGCTCAGTATATGTAGAAAAGTCATTTCAGCACAATGAACACTCAGAAGAAATTTTAAATGAAGTATTTATTTTCAACTTGTAAATGTTAAGTAGAGAATAATTTAAAAAGTTGAATGTTTTCATGACTGTAACCGTAGAAAAAGTTTAGCTTTAGGAAAAGTGATGTTGTATTTTGATCAGAAGGAAGAAAATGCCTTATATCCACAAGAATGTCGATTGATGACCTACAAATAAGCACTTATAGGACGGAAGACTCATAGAGCTCAAAATGATCGCTATACATCAACTTTGGTGATTTTGTGAAAGAATCCGGTCGTGTGACATTATGGAGTATCGGAGAAGATTTCCACTATCATAGGGAATTCCTACAATGGAATAAACTGCAAATTCTCACAGAAGAAGTAGCTCAAAATCAGACTGTTTGAAATATTTTGAGCTTATATTTCGCTTAGTCCGGTTAATAGTTGTCTTCTCAATACATTATAAAAAACTTTACAGCAACAATTAATTTAATGATTTCAATGAGCACTTCATCATTGAATATAAATAGATGAACAAGTTTGTCATTCTTACATACTTATATCTTTTTATTTGTTTATTTTTAGCCTAGTACATTCCTCCATTTATCCGAACAACGGTTAAAGATTTCTTCAAAAAGAAATTCCTTTCTGAAAAATGTGTGAGAAAAGGTATCGTTATGAAATATGTTTTATTTCCTTTTTACGATTGCAAATATTGTTAGTAACGAACAAAATATATACAATTGCAGAAGCAAATATTGCTCTTTACAATGTTAAGGATCCGAACTAATAATAATTTCTTAAATAAACGTAAGTTGATGTACCCCCAGTTCCACTGTAATCAATGCTGAAATAACTATTTTTAGAGCAATTTGTCGCTTTGATAAATTTCGATAGTGTAATATGAAGACGAAGATTATCAGAACTTTGTGATATATTATCGGAATACATTTCGAACAAACTGATCGTACATATACTTGTTAAAAACATTCATATATAGCCTAATTGATCTTTTATTTTAATATATAAATGTTCTTAAAAAGTTTATGTGTGATCAGATTATCCGAAATATATTGCACTAATATATCATCACATAGTTCTGATAATCTTCGTCTTCTTATTACACTATCGAAACTATTTTTATATTTTTTTGACAGATTATGGAAATATCTAACAAACGTGCTCTTTCAAAATTTTAATTACATTGACCTTCGTTTAAAGCCTGAAATCGATATGTGTACATTTTAAGTACTATTTGATACATACATAATAACTTACTTTTTAAGACTTGCTTCGGAACACCATAGTAACATAATCGAATTGCTTGCATAAGTCAGCGACATCAGTTAGATCGAAACACATAAGCTTTCTACCCTCAATAATAATGACACTATTCAGTTTCGCATCGTTGAGTTAGAAATAACTGTCACATAGACAGCAAACAATTTATGTAAATTTTCATGTAAAATCCAACAGTTTCTAAGGTTTAACTTTTTCACCAAACTGATGATTAGATGAAATTTACTTTATTAGTTATGAAAATAGATAAATTCAGGAACATTAGTGTGACTGCATGATTATGTTACTCATCTTAAGTAATAAAATATCTCATACTGTTTCCAAAATAGCAGAATAAATCCATAGGAATTTCAGACTACATCTTCTTGTTTATGAACTCAAGTAAATATATTTCGGGAGTTCCAATTGTATCTGTCAACCTGGTGTTAATTTGAGTACCATATGGAGTGTAGCAAGAGTACGACGGCAAATAAAGTTTGGGACATTATGCAGCGGTTTATGTGAATATGGCCAAAAATCTGTAGTTTTAATTTCAAGTTACTTTAATACTTAACTCATAGATCAGAATGCTGTTTCGTGTTGTGGTTAATGAATATGAGTTAGTCAAAAATAGCACATATTCTTGCCAGTCACTTGATATACCTTGATTAATATTGCTAAAATAGTTATTTCCCCCTTGTTTTAAAATTATCCCGACACAACTCGATGTATATCATGTTTAAACCCCATTGTAAATACAGGTTAGGATTTCGAATGAGTTCGAACTAGTAAATAATTTTTAAAATATAATTGACAGCTGTCTACGGAATGAGATGGTTACGCAATTTTAGTTGTGTAATTCAACGAAAAATGAATGTCGTTCGAGGTGATACATTTTAATTCAGACCACATAAAAAAAATCTCCTTCATAGCATTTTTCTTTCTTTGAAGTAGTTTGAACATTGAGGACACTACAAAATACACCAAGATATCTCCAATCTTATTTATTTCGATCAAGTACCCAGAACCTAAATATTTTCAAAAGAAGATTAAAAAATATGGTTGAAAAACCATGAGACAGACGCTTCTTTTCATTTTGGAATGTCTGTCATTGTTATTTTATTTATTATCATTTATTTGATACATTTCTGTACACAAACATCTTTTCATTTAAAACTAAAAACTAAAATAAACTTATAATACACAATTTTAAAGTTAAAGATGTATGTTAAGTTAATTGAATTAAGGAGTTTTGATTATTGTGATATTGTTTTGAGAAAGGGAAATGAAAATATTACTAACATATTTAGTTATTTTATGCATGTGCTAATGTAAGGCTTTCATAATATCACTTCAAGCAAGGCATAGTGGACTAGAGTATTACAAAAGTTATATATATATTCATAGATATATACAAGGACATACATGTACAATTGGTGCATATTTTTATGAATTTAAATGTTCTATTTTCAATTTAAGCACATTTCAGTCTATTGTCTCAATTTGAAAAGATGTACTCTAAATCCATTGATATAATTGTTACTCTGAAAATAATCTAAGCATTGTAAAGATAAATGTTTGAATAAAGATGAATAGACTTTGAAAATAGATCGCAGTGGCGCTTTAAACAGCAAGAAAGTTGAAATGTTCAGAGTGGAGTTAATGTCTTTAAGAAAATCAATTTTTAAGTAATTTTATTGATGGTAAATGCTGGTTGATACAGGCAGCTGGAAGGTATTGAATGTACAAAAAGAATACAAGCAGTGAGAAGTATTTATAAATCACAGTTTAAAAGATTTTTAAGAAGGAATATTTGCTGTCTTTTGTTATACCAGCAATGAATGGAAAAATAATGTTATATTAGACAAATTCTCCAGGATCTTCTTCTGATTGGCTACGGATCTGTGAACTTTGATTATTTGCCTGCTGTTGTTGTGTGGAGTTACTAGATCTAACACTAACTACACCCAGGAGAGAGCTATTCCCAGTAGTGGGTAGTCTCTTCTTTATGTCGGTGTTAGTACATAAATCTGTTGACTGACTTTCAGTTGGTCTTAAAGTTTCAAACCCTATACTACCTGAAATAACAGATCTCATTCTTACAAACTGATCAGTGTTTTCAGTTACTGTGGATGGCTGACTATGACTTGTTATAGAGCTACTTGTACCATCTAAGCTACTACTAGTTGTTTTTCCTAGTATTGGAGGAAGAGGTGGTGGTGCTGATGGTCTTAGGGATGGAGGAAGAGGAGGAGGAAGTTGACTTCCTGCCGGACTAGCTGGTGGTGGTCGTAAATGATAAGCCGGATAGCTCGGAGGTGGTTTTCTTCTTATTTCTGATGAATCTGAAGGACTTACTGGAGTAAGCGATCGGCTTGCACGCCTATTAGTACTTGAGGCTGTACTGGAACGGTGATGATGGTGGTGATGTGATGATCGGTGTGATGGTTGATGCTGTGGCAGCTGAGGTTGTTGCGGCAAAGTGTAAGAAAGTGGCTGAGATGTTGAAGTTGTGCTTATATTTTGATGCGCTCTGTACATATTCCATAATTTTTCAATTATTTCAGAGGCAACTAGTTCACCAGCATTTTGTGCTGTCAATCTCAAAATAAATACACCGTCTTGTCTTAAATATGAATCAACAAATGTTAATGTTCTTTTCTTATCACCTGGTTCTAGCGCTCCACGTAATTTTAAAAATTTTCTAATGAACTGAATTCTTGTTCCACGAAAGCTTGATTTGTATGACCAATATAGAAAACTACTTGTATTCACAGCCGCTACCAATATAAACCAGAACCATAGAAATATAAAGATTTTCTCGTTAAACATGTTGATAGGTAGTACACACTGTACAGTATGCCTATGTTTATTGGCCACCTTGCGTACTTCAAAATCACAAAGCGTAATACGTGGAAAATTGCCTGATTCCTGCCACACATAACCCTCACTTATATCACGGAGTAAATCCAAACCGTAAAATGTGTAATTCGTGCCCAAAATTTTGTTCATTAAAAAGAACTGCCCAACCACATTGAATATGTACAGTGATTTTGTAATTAGATATAAGCATATTAAATAATTTCCGTAACGTTTACCGAACCATAAGCAGCAACTTTTAGCTAAACAATGTTTAAAGCGCACACCACAACCGGATCGATATTCACGTTGTGAACTCAAGGCATCTTCAATGTGTCTTGCCACATATGTGATATTTGATTTTCGTGTTTCGGGATCTTTAATCATTTCAATTTCACAAGCTACTTCCATTATACTAGATAACTGCAAAAAAAGACATAGAAGGACACTGGAATTAACACACAGACGAAAATAAACAAAGTTAGGTAAACAAATAATTATAAATTTCTATGTTATAAATAAAACAATAGAGATCACCCCAGATGTCAAGAAAATGCAGTGCATTCAAGTAAACTACTGACAAGGAGATGAAACGATGAAAATGAGAAACTTCTAAGCAGTCCATATTCAATATTTCAGGCACAATCGGACACAGGATCCATGAGTCTAGCAGAAACACGACGTTTAGGCTCTTAAATCAAAACGCAGATTGATATACTCTTAATTTGAATGGTTTTCTATTTGATAGTTGGCGCTGTTGGCAGCTACTTTTAAACTAAACGTAACTCAGCATCATGCTCAGATCATCAGTGATCCTATGATGAAAACTGTCTTCATAAATAAAACTTCTAATAGTCGAATAAGGTTCCATAATGAGTTGTTTTCATTCTTCACGAATAACTGACTAACATTACAGTAAATAAATAATGCAAGGAACAGTTGTATATATATATCGATTTTTGCTTCTACTGTAGTTTAATTTGTCATTTTTATGTGTTTAGTGTTAAGTTCTATTTTTAATGCGTGGTCTAACGTGAGGAGTGAAATATTTATTTCATACTTTATTGTGTTTTCTACTGAAGGAAACAAAAGTTTGGAAAATACAACATTGTTTTAAAAACCCTCTTGACCAATCTTACGAAGACACCGTAAGTTTTGAAGTTATGTTCTCCTACATTCGCTTACATTAAATGATATCACATATGTGCTCATATTATAATATTAATGCACATAGCGGATGCTTATTGCAAATTAGCGACTTTTTGCTATGAATATTATCGAATGATTTTTTGTAATACGTTCAGTAACAACCTAGTTCTTTTACCTGACGATCCTGTTCTGTTTGGACAGTTTTCACCGTGAAAGCAGTCAGCTGATGATTCACTGAATACCGATGAGGACTAAACATTTAATTTGTCGAGATTTGTGTTATGCAACAGTGTTTACCAGGATGTAGAACGTTTGATCGTTTGACGAGCACAATGTCTTTAGAAGTCTGCCTTAAAATATAGTCCACGTTTCAAATTTAATTTGATTCATAATATAATATGACCCTTACTCAATATTATCTATTACTTCTGTCTCGCTGTTGTCATGATAAAACCTAATGGATCGTGGCTTGTTTAAGAACCTTCAATATCTCACTAGAATTTAGTTCTTGGTGAACCTTACTCCTTTAGGAGTGATTTTAACCTATAATAAACATCTTGAATATTTCAAGCTAAAAAAGTTAAAGCTTTTGGCTTTTAACTGTTTACTATTGATAAGTCAGGTTTAATATATACATGGTAGAAATGCATAGGGGACCTAATTAAGTTTTTATTTATATTTATCAAAACAACATTTTTGTAATAATTCGAAAATAGTTATTGTTTAGGATTTTGTAATTAAACTAATAAACTGTGACTGAAGAAGATGGATTAGAAAAAAGGATTCTTAGTTTATAGTTCTACATATAATCAAGAAATGCTTCACACATTCATTACCACATATACTTTCAGCAAAAAATTGCAGATCGATATTAATAATAACAATATCGTATAAATATATAATAACCAAATATACAAGGTGATTACTTTTATTTGCTTTCATTTTAATATCAAACCGAGTACTGATAATAACTCTCTAACAAAATTGACAAAGCTAGTTGAAATGTATATTTTGTAAAAACCCTCATTTTATATTCTTGCTTTTATTGTTATAGAAGCTGGGAAAATAAGAATGAAGGTAATATGAGGAGAAATAATATCCAATTCATTCACAGCAATGTTCTAACAACCAACATTATATATTTACTAGTCCGATGTATATATATATATATATATATATATATATATATATATATATATATATATATATTACAAAACTGGGAATATAGTAAATTATAGAAAAGAAAGGAAATAACAAAATCTGTCGATAAAAATAATGGAAAACAGCAAGAAAGAGAAGAAAACTAGTAGTTTCCAATTTCATTTTGTTTTTGAAGTCAATGGAAGAATGGTTTTTTTTTCTTATAAACTCATTTCTTTTTTCCTATAATATAATCTCCGAGTGATAAGAACAATTCAAAGGAAAAAAAATTAAAAATACAAATTTGAAATATTTTCATTTATTCAAATTACTTGTGTCAAAATCGAAATTGAATCTTGATCAGCGGAAGCTTCAGAGAAAATAAAAGAAGATTCTATCGCTATTTCGTGTTTTCTTTTCGTGGAAAATAGTATGCTTGAAATAATTGTTAACTAAAAATGTCGGTAAGAGAATTATTGGAAAGTGTGATGAACTGAATAAGTATCTTTCAGAAGTCAACTTCTTTTCATCGGTTTACATCCTAGTAATCAACATTTATCGGAATGCATGTACGTTCCGCTTCGACGTACTGTAGATTCAATGGAGCTGGATTATTTGGGAGTTTTTCAAAGAATTCTATCTATCTGTGACTCTGTTCTTGAATCTCAGTGATTATCTTGTCTCCTTTGTTCTTTACCGGTCTGTCGGGTTTGCTACATTTTCCTACCCGTTTCTTCGTCGTGTCATATAGTTGATTCATATTTCCTCCTCTTGCAGCTTTATCCGCTGTCATTGTTAGGTCTTCAACGTATTTCAGCCCACCGGTTCTAATGCTCCTCTTCACTTGCCTGGTTGATTTGATGTATGAGACCTGTGTCATGGCTTTCTTCGTCCTTGTTAGACTGTTGTTAATTTGTGTCTTCTTATTCTTCCTTTCTTGAATCTTGTTCAGGGCCTAGAATGTCCTGACACGTTGAAGCTGATGTTTCTTTGATCCCTTTCCGATTTCCCTTCATAGTATTTTTCTCTTCTTTGAGTAGATCTTATAAGACTTGAAACCTGTTGTTGGGAATTTTCTTGAATTGGTTGATTGGCGTTTTTTTAGGAATATTTTTTTCTATGCGATGGTGTTGGCGACCACAAGCTCAATCCTCCTCCTTTACCCGGGCTTTGGACCGGCAGTAACTTTGGAAGAGCTTCTGGTTGAATATTTCACATTTCTGTAGCTATTATTTACATTTTTAAGAGTTCACTTTCTTCAGTGTGACAAATACCTATAGGTTGTAAGTCACATCAATCAATAATTCCTCTAATAGAGTTTAGATTTTTGTAAATTATTATATTGTAATGCCCAATTAAATTTTTTTGTAATTGAACTATTATAGTTGATTTTACTGGCAAAGGTTTTTGGAATTTCGATTAAATAATAAATGACTGTCAACTCAAAGGTTTGGTGTCCCAATAATGACACAAGTTTTGTAAATTGAGTAATTTGTTTACACTAAAATTGTATAGTTTATAAATTTATATTAGAATAGCTATAATAGTTATTCACAGTTTGTAAATATATAGACATGTTGATCTAGATATATCTTAGGTAGTATAAAAAACCGGAGAATAAACCTTAACTATTTTCAAATTAACATCAAATGCTAAATACAGTGTATATTTATCCCTAGCTACATACAAATTATAAATAAACACTTTATCTATTAATGTTGTTACAGATTTCATCTCCTTAAAATTGTTTAACTTCTATAATACATAACCCTAGAAGCTAATGAAAATAATTTTTCTTTATTAAAGTCATTTCAACTAAATCCTTTTCAAAGTGAAACTTTCTTCTGCGGCAAATAGTTTTTAATTTTCCCTTTTTCTTTTTTTTTCTTATCATGAAATGCACTTTCTTAAACTTAACACAAATTAAACTAATTTAAATATACTTTCAGGAAAAGATTTTGTGTGTCAGGATAATGGTACAAAGGAGAAACACAATGGAATAAGTCATTATTAGTTTAATCTGCTTAACTTGAATTTATAAACAATTATGTTGGGTAAGAAAAGTAAATAAATGAAATATAAACATTGTAAAATATAATTTTATACTTCATTCATTACGTGTTAAAAAGGACTACACAGATTTTAATGATTATTCTGGGAATGAAGGAAATACAAGCAACAAAATTTATATGTTGTATTCTTGACTTATTGAATTACAAATTATCTACGACACAAATTATAAATAAAGTAAACGTTTAATAAGATTTATTATGTAACATGTTCATAATCTATTTCACATTTACATGTAGATATTCAATAATAAGAAATATGAATCTGGTCGTTTGTAATTATAAGATTAATCATGCTTATTTTTGTTTACTAGATGGAAGCGAATCATTCAGTTCTCTTTGCGTATCTACTTAATGTTTAAATGTTCATCAATTTAAATTTCAAATTTCTTTTTAGTTGTTTGGTATAAAAGAAGGTGTGTACTTTGTGTATATATATAATGTGAAATGCAGGGTTTTCTTAATTTTCTTTCGGAATTAAAACATGTTTGAATACATTATTGCAAATAAATATGTATTATGCTTTACATGTAAATAGTTCTTGTGTTCATGAATTATATAATATTAATTATATTATGGTAACCAGGTAGTTTGTACAGTGCTCCTGGATAAAAACTGGAATTTAGATCGTTTTGCAGATAAGAAGTTTTAAAAGAGGTTTTCACGCTTACCGATCATTATTATATTGTCTAACTTATAGCCTTGAAAGTGGAAAAAGTCAGATGTATTAGTAACAATGTTACCTAACTTAAAAGTTTCAAATCATATAATATATGATCACTCAGATATTTGAAAAGCGGATGTGGGTTTACCGATCATTTTTTTGTCATTTTTACTGGGAACGGATAGTGTAATGGTTTACCATCAATATAATCGATTAACTGAATTTATATGTTCGAAAAAGCGACTACTAAATACAAAACATTAGGAGGGATAACTGTTATACCTCATTGTATCTGCATAACATTACTAAAACTTAATAGTTTATGTTATTTATTGGTTTGAGTTAAGAGAAAGTATCGTGTTCTATTTAACAATTGTGTGCGACAGGCAAGTCCATCTGTT